AAGGTGATAAGGAATTCAATGCGACGGGCTGGTGCCACCACCATGTCGTCGTAGCAAAGCGTTGGAAACACCTTCTTGAGCATCACGTTGCACTGTAAGCGCAGCGCGATAAACGCTACAGTACTTAGAGTTACTTGTGTGTGCCTCTTCTAGTATAAAGCAGACATACAAAATATTGACGTGTTGTTATGGCGCCTCAGATATGCGCAATATCTGCTTTTTTAATTGACAATCGCACCACTACGAACGCTAAGCGTTGAGCAATATTGGTGGGCGCTGCGGATGGGGTTGGGCGTTTGGTGCCGTTTGAAGTATTGTTGGGACAAACAGACAAATGTACAGACAGACAGACATACCAACATTTTTCCGTCGAAGGTCCCCCAAGAAAGACTAGCGTCTTTAAAAACAACGTTATTGTAAATAACACTACTCTGGACCGAGCCAGCTACCTTATCATTATTCCTTCGGCTATGCGACCATAAATTCCGCAGATCACGCACGATCAGCTGTCCGCCTCGGTTTTCCCGCACGCTCGCGAGGATACAAAAATCATACTACAGGTCACGGCTTTCCGCCGACGTCGCTCGTTGCGTGAGGACATACCGGACTCCCTGCGATCCAAGGCAGCGCGTACGAACCCAGCAGGCTTTATTCGGCCGACCGAACTACCACGCCCACGTTTCCAACAAATCGGGATGGAACTATTGGAACTGTTATCCAAGACCATTCCGGGAAATAAAAGGATTGTCGTAGGTACCGACTACCTCCCCCTCCCCTACGCACGAACAAAGGCCAAGGCGAACAGAGGCAGTGCAGCCAAGGTAGACAAATTATTCGTTAAAACCATTTTACTTCGTTTCTTTAGTGCCCCAGAGATTCTTTACCGCGATAAAGGTACGGCCTTTACTGCTGATTTGACTCTGCTGATGTTGAGACATACCCAGACAAGCTACCGCAGCACCACCGCCTACTACCCACATACAAATCGTCTCACTGAGGCTCTTAATAAGACCATCGCCGACATGTTGGTCATGTACACCAGCTGACAAAACGAGTCCGAATGCGCGAGCGACGACCGCAATCCGACAAAACTATGGTTCCTAGATGAAACAGTTTTCGAAGGTAGCGACACATTTCTCTTTCCTCCTCTCCTATGTTTCTAGAGCGCCCCGTAGAATGTTCAAAACTTTCATCAAAAAGGGATTGTTTGGGTTCAGTTGCTACGGTGAATAAATGTAAATGAAACAAAATTGAACAAAACGAGTTGTAGAGTAAATGTTTACCTTTGTGAACATAAACAGTACAACACAAGAGCAACTGGAACATGCATTACTTAACTGGCAACGTTGCGAATTGGTATGTTTTACACCACTGGCCGAGGTGTCTCTCGTCGTACATCGTACTTTGTCCAGCTATAACTGTTCTAGTTCTCCGAAAGTGTTTTGTTACAGCTGTGACACAGTGAATGCGCTTCTTGCTGCATCCTGTCAGTGACCACAGGGCTTGACGTTGTGATGAGTGCTTAAAGCTGGCTTATGCACACGCGAGGCAAAACCATGGCCAGACCGGTACAAACGCTATCAACAGCACTGCGATGACAGTTTTTTAATGTGCCCAATTAGACATTAGTGATTCCAGGTGATTCTGGGGCGTTGCGCGGATTTTCTTTAAAAGTGACATTTCTTGTCTCGAAGCAGTGCGTTTGGGCTCCTTTATGTAGCGTTCTAGTCAACTGGTCAAGCGTGAAAGTTACTAATGGTGTGTTGATTAGGGGCTCCAGGTGCTCAGTATACGTGCATACGCACAAGTACTTGTAACAACTCGCATGCACTAGACGCACCTTAGACGTGCTCCTGGCTTTCAATGAAAACCGGCAAATAAACTCGCTTCGCAGATCCACATCGACGTACTTACGTCGACGAAGTTGCACGATAGCGTTCGCGTGAAATACTTCATAGCTACAAACTCATATAGGATAGCACAAAATAGGTTGAAGAGAACGAAATTATTTTCTGTTGCTTCGCGGCATTCCAGCGTTGTTGAAAAACTCAGATATTGCATTGAGCGAGCTCGGCGAAACAATCTTGGCCAACGTGGCGCCAACTGGAAGGCTTCTCCTCTTCTGTTTATGTCATAGCTACCTGGCTACCATTTCGTCTTCGCTCACGGTGAGAATCCGGCTGGACCCATATGCACAAGCGTACTCATTTATAGCTTTTTGCATATTAACAAATACCTCCACCAGCCATTTCTAACATCTTATTCAAGGAATGGACCAATTAGAGACGCAGATGGCAGAGAAAAGAAGCGGTAAGTGGGAGAGTGCTGTGACGGCTTCAAGAACAATCAGTGACGTTACCTCGGAAACTTGTTAAATGCGACGCATTTCTTAGCGAACTTCGGCGAGTTTGAGCGTATCTATCTATCTATCTATCTATCTATCTATCTATCTATCTATCTATCTATCTATCTATCTATCTATCTATCTATCTATCTATCTATTCTATCTTATCTATCTATCTATCTATCTATCTATCTATCTATCTACGACTTTTAGCTCTCCTGGCCGTTTCGATAATGGTATCAAAACGAAACTTAGTATGGTATAATATGACTGTATGAAAAGCATGCTTGACTTGTCATAACATCAAAATCATGAAATGTATGTCATGACTGTCATTATTTACATTTTATGGACCTGGAGCTCTTCCGGTAGTTTCCTTGACATGGCATGTGGCAAAACCGGTATGGTATTCCATGATTCCATAGCGAACACAAGCGACAGACGCTAACAAGGAAATCATTACATGCGAGTCATGTAACAGCATGACTACATGCCACGCCCATAATACGCCCGCGGCCGTTTCGCTAGAGTCACATATACCAAATTTGGTATTACAGTACGTGAATGTATGATGAAGGTATGTGACTGCTGCAGACATGATAATCATGAGATGCGTGTCATGTAACAACTTGACCACATGATAATCATGACATGCGTATCATGTAACAACATGAATACATGCCACACTGATGGTGCGTTCGCGACCGTTTCGCTAGCTTCACATATGCCAAATTTGGTATTACGTGACGCCAATGGATGACGAAGGTATGTGACTGGTGCAAACATGTCATGAAATGCGCACCATGTGAGAACATGACTTCATGTCGCAGTCAAGGCGCCAATACATTTCGACATAATGTGGTGTCCGTGCCGCCGGCGTTCATTTCATCACTTCACGCTGGCGTTGCCACACCAGGCGCCGCGGTCCTGCCATATACCCGCAGGCACGCGTCACGCTGCGTTGCTTTACCGCATGCGCTTTTCAGCACGTCCAGCGTCCCTCCGTCAAGAAAAGAGGGAGGCGCAGTGTTGTCTGAGTAAGGCATCGGCGCGAAATGCAGCATGTCGAATATCGCGCCGGTTGCCACTGGGCTGCGCTGACAGACGCTGGGCGCGCCTGGCGTCAGACTACACAGCGCCCGCGTTTTGCTAACGTAGTGTCGCTGTGCCCCGCATGCGCACGCGTCAACGCTACTTTGGAGTATAATGGCACCTTCACAATAAGTTCGCGGCCGTTTTGCTAGCTCCACATATACCGAATTTGGTGTAACTTGACGTCAACGCATGACAAAAAATTTGAGTGGTGCAAACATGATAATCCTGACACGCGTGTCATGTAAGAAAACGACCACACACCACGCTATTGTGCTCGTGGCCGTTTTGCTATCTCCACATATAATAAATTTGGTATCACGTGACGTGAATAGATGATGAAGGTAAATGACGCATCCAAACATGATAACCATGACACGGAAGTCATGTACGGCATCATTTACATCAACCTTGTGACGTGTGCTGATTTTGAAGTGACGTATCAGCATTTGTCAATCGTGCTTCGCATATCATCGATTTCCACTGTACGTGGCATCTGCCAGTTTTTTCATCTAGGCACCTTAGATAAAACTGCCGTGGAGAGTGTGCATGCGCGTCTTTTCGATTTCGCAGCCATATATTTTTACTTTCTCGCAGCGTACGAGTGATTACATGTAGCGTTTTGTGCTAGGCGTCGCTTTCTTCATTCGGTGACGTGTTCAGTAGAATGGGGGCACTGTAGCGTTGAAGAGTCCGCGGCTCGCTTTACGGAAAACGCAGAGCAGCCGAACTCCTTTAGCAGAAATTCCGGTGTTGGTGTCTAAGTAACCGTCGTTGGTATTAGGCGAAAAGTGAGCGTGTTCTGCGTAGAAAAAAATCTGTTCAATTTTATGCGCAAAGGCTTTGTTTTCCTCACGGCACGTTGACGCTAATTATGCAGAAGGTGATGCCAAGTATTCTCAATCAGGTTCTCGTGTTCGACTCTTGGACGCGAATCTCAATCGTCCTACTCGTTTTATTGTGGTTCGAAGAGCTCATCGTTAGAGTACAGCGAACCAGGGAACGTCTACTAATTGATGAACACGCTTCGTTCTTTTAAGCTGTCACTCAGCTTTCTTCAGGTAATCGCTGATCTTACATGTTTTCGTACCTTTCTGCAGCCACACGCAACGCTATGTAATTTACATGCTCCCTATAGAGGACATCGCATGCTCCAAATAAGCGTGATTACAGCTAATAGTTCCGAAGATTTGCATCTTTTGGTATCCTGTCGGAAAACTTGCCGTTCAGTGTCTGAGCGTGACCACGCGCGTCACTGTATTTAATAACGACTCATTGCAGAGTGAAGTGTTTATACTGTCAATTTCGCTGTTACCAACGCGTTTCTCAATAAAAAATCTTGGTGCACCTATCTCCACTCAAACGCCGAATAAAAGCTGTAGTTATCAAAAGCCAGCCAGAGGTGCGCCATGCGACCATAGATTCATAGACACAGTTGATGAGCTGATATACAGTGGTCCGACTAGAATACTGCTGTCACGCCATTCCCTTATTTCCACCCGTCCGTCATGTGTTCGAGATTTGAATGGACTGGGAATACTTGTTAGACATGTAGAAATATCCAATGCCGGACAAAGACCTGTCGCCCACTGAAATGGCACCTCGTGTTATTATTGAAGATCAGCAATTCATCGCCAGTCTTTTTGTGGAAGGTTTCCCGCAGCGAGAAATTGCCTGTAGAACTGGGAGGTCGAAGACAGTGATCACCAAAACTGTACGTTCTTCTGGAGAAGGTGGAACATTTACGGATGCCAAGTGGTTCGGGCAGCCAAGAGACACAATGCACGAGGCCGACATTTTGATTGTGGCCGCAGCTGTCGTGAATCTTTTCTTGTCCGCCAAGGATATCTGGGACGAACTCTCACTGAATGTTTCTACAAGGACAGTGAGCCGGCTGTGGAAGGAGGCTGGAAGTGAAAATTTCACCACGGCGCAAAAGCCTTTTCTGTCTGAGCGAAAACGCCAACAACGCCTGGACTTCCCTGTGAACCACCAGCATTGGAAGGAAGAAGAATGGAAAAATGTACTTTTTTCTAATTAGTCGACTTTCTGCACTCGGTGAGATCAGCAAGAGTATGTGGTGGCCCTTGAATTCGAGGTAATCAATGCGTTCACTACTCACGGTGTTAATGTTTTGCTGCTTTACATATGGCGAAATATTTTCGTACATGTATTATTCATGAGTTTCTTTTTTCAAACTGATTTCAACATGATATCCTACAATGTCAGCATAAAAACAAAAACACTGCAAATAACACAACGTTAACAAAACATTCCTCGTTATCAGCGGTGGTGTAAAACAACATGGTGTAAACCATGTTGTTTTACACAAAAAACAATGGTGTAAAAACAACATTTCAGAAATAGTATGACATTCTTCTTAATTGAAAAAGGCATCGTTCTGATACCTTAGCAGAAGGTGGTAAGTACAAAGAACAATAAATTACAAATTATAATGAAAACTTTTAATCCACAGGTTTTTCACGCGCACAAAGCGGCTTGAGGTGGTCAACACGCACTACTTTGGGCCGCATACGGCACCATTGAGAGTTCGTTATGTCATCGGGCACAACCTCATAGTCTAGACCGCCTGTAGGTCAAAGCATCTTGTACGGCCCCAAGTATCGCTAAAGAACGTTTCCAGTAGGTCTACGTTGGGGTATTGACATCCATACAAAAACACGATCACCGGGTTGGTATTCCACTAAGTGTTGTCGAAGGCTTAGCTGTCGGTCCTTTGCTGGTGCCATGCCGTGCCGAGTGATAGTCATGGCGGTCGATTGTTATCAGTAAGAAACTCAAGCTGTATGCCTTCAGTGGTAACATTAGGTGAAGTCAACAAACGCTGGCTGCAGAGAAATACAGCACTAGACATTCTCAAGGTTTTCACGGCAGAACAATAAACTGTGTTTGGGCTTGGGTGGTGTAATTTTCGTGGGGTTTGGTGGCTTCATGATGAGTTTTGCAAGAGCTAGTTTAAACCAGTCTTCTGCGAGGATCAGCGGTAGCGGGATACAGGGAACCACTGTCACATCTACAACAGCAAATATGGGGCCAACTAAAAGGGAAGTTGTCATACTACCTGGGGGCATCACTATACCTCCCCCCACGACAAATTTAGGTGGCTTTGTACAAGGTGACAAGGTAGATGGCGGAGCTAACGTCTTCGGTCAATGTGGGTATCTTAGAGCATCTCTGAGAAAGAGTAAATAGTTACAACACCAGTTACACGAGCTTTTATGATGGCGCACTGGATGAGTGATGCTTCGAGGCAAGGCTTGGTGGTAGCATAGGGATATACGCCGCCAGCGAGTCGCGGACATGCATCTCGAGGTGACGGGCACCTGGCAGCCAGGTGATTTAATTGTCGGCAATTGAAGCACGTTGCTGTGCTGAAGTCCTGGTCACTTCGGTACATCAGTAACCATGCTGAGCGAAGATAACAGCGTAATTAGCTACCTGCTCATACATGAGCATGTCTGCTATCCAGTGTCAAGGGCTTGAAGGCGTAGCAGTGGTTGGTTCAGGCCTGAAGTTAAGACATGGTTAGGTGGCCAAAGTAGAATGCTGGGGGCTGAGAACCTTGACTAGTAAGATTTCTGTGACGAACCCTGGTCTCGGCAAGCAGTGGTCTTGAATATGGCTCTATATAGACCTACCGAGTGCTTTTGTTGAGGTTGACGCGTCAAAATAAAAGCATTGACTGTAGACGGTTAAATAGCAGCGATGGCGGTGATAGCGTGCTGGTCATTCAAGCCCTGAATAGTATAGTCAGTCTGCTATCTTCAGACAGCTTTACAGGACACTGTTAAAGAAATTCTCAATTTGGCGAAGGTGTGTTGGCGAAGATTTTCACTGGCGTGCTGTTTAATCTTGAAGACGCGTTCCTGCCACTCGATCAGGGATAGCTATAAGAATGTTATATTGAGCGCATTGTTATACTTCTGTATGTCTCAGACTGGTCGCCATACGTCAATTGCCAATCGCAAGCTGTCCCCTTCAACTTGCTGGACGCAATGAGGCGAGTATGGGCGTCACCCGAGAGGCTAGTTGTTGTACTCGAGGCACTTAATCAAGCTATGCATTGACGTTCTGTCTCGGAAATTTGTGGAAGTGTGGAATCGACGTTGAAAGGTTAGCCGGGCAATTTCGTAACAACCTTTGAAGGCACTCGTGCTATGGAACCCATACCTGCGTGGTATGGGTGCCGGGGCACGAGGGGCTCGAGAGAAATGAAGCGGCTTGCGTCATGGCCCACCATCACGTCAACCGGGCCTTCTTCAGCGCCTCGCTCTACCCGTGGTTAGTTAGTGCTGCAGCAGAACTGGAGATCTTACTACCAACATACCATGCCATCCCACAACACTATCGAATAGCTTGCAGGGTGTACCTGCTACCTCACCCCAAGCTAAATAAGGAAGCCTACTGCAGCCTATTACATAACCTACCCGACGTTATACGCCTACAATTTCCCAATATGCGACGTGCCATACACACGGGCACGCCTACTATTCGAGTGCCCGTGGTGGTACGAATATGCCAATACCAAGACTGCAACGACTGCACGTATTGATTTCTTAGCCGAGGCGTAGGAGGCCAAGATTGCCGCACGTAACCTAGACAACCAACGAGGAATTCTCGCCAGGGCCAGGGAGGCGATTGCGGCCAGAAGATTCCTGCAATAAGAGACCCTCCAACCTAGGAAAACCCTGAACTTACAAGCTCGTTAATACTGTTTCAGAATATAAATCTTTGTTTCATCATCATCGTTTGAAGGCCGGGACGATTGCTGCATCAACGTCACGAGCGCTTGAATAGTAGCGCCATCCAATGAAAGGGTAATGGCAGACGGCGTTCGGTCCGGAGTCAGAGTAGACTGACGATTTATTTGGATGTTGTTGTGTACACGCTCTTCACGAAGAAGCTCCTCTTTGAGGCGGCGTATTGCTGCCTTGTCCAACTCATCCCAGAGAATTGGGTATTGTGACGTCGGGTTGTGGTTACCACTAACTAGAGGCAAACGCTGGAGTAAGCTAAATATCATCAAAACGTTTGAAAGAATCCTCATACCGTGCATGACTTTTGTTCTTTTCTCTTTCTAGTTTTGTTGACTTCTGGTGTCGTTTCACGTTTTTCCTGCCCCAGTAAACGACGATGGCGTCATTTCATTGCAGCTTGTTCACGTTGAAGCTTGTGAGCGATTATGATTGCGTGTTCCTTAGGTGATGTGCGTTCATCGAGCAGAAAAAAATGAGCACAGTTGTGCATCATAAAATATTTTGTTTTCCGCACGTGTAATCACCGAGAAACAAGACGTGTGTGAGTGATATGAACAGCGAAAGTGGGACTGTAATAGCTGTAACCACCTTGAAGTGTCACCGGTGACCTGCCAGTCTTCCACAGGGCCAGCTCCTCGAAAGCAAAAGTGACATTCAAAACTGCACGTAAAAGCAATGTCCTTTTTTTCTAAATTGCCTTGCATACTTGGTCGGTATTTTCGCTGCCTGTTATGATGACGCTAAAGATCACGTACTATAACAGCGTACCCGTCGGTGTTTATGAAGGGAGTGGTTGTCTACGCTGTGTGTCGACAGCAATTATAGTATCAGGATAAAATTACCAGTGGTAAACTCCACCTAGGCAACAAACAAAAACAGAAAGCCGGGCCAGCTGGTGATAGTGCCTAATGACATCTTAAAACAGCACATGACTATCTGGACACGAGGAAAGAAGAGACGAACCACCGCACTGACTCGCAGCTATTTTTTTTGTTTGGAGGGGGGAATGAACGGTAAAAAGGACCCTTCAACCGGCACACCCTTGTGACCGCACAAAAGCAGAAACAGATCAGCTGACATTGTGAACAATGAAAAACCTTGATACATCCTAGATGTACTATCCGACAACATAAAGTTAAGCTATCGTGCTATCTAAGAATCTAACCTCACTAATGTGTAGGGCTAAAGAAAGCACGTTAGTGCATTGTTCACCCCTTTTTTATATGAAGCATATCATATGAAAAAAAGAACGAACAATGCATGTCAACCTGACCTTGATGATTCAAGGCCGATGCGTTGTCTTAAGTAATTTCAATAATTTTGTCAGTTGAACCCTCACTTAAAGGTTCGCTGATAAACTCTGCAGTTAGGATCGTAGAATCATCTTTGTTCTTCTTCTGCAGGGACTGCCGGGCCTCCCCGGCCTCCCTGGCCCCGATGGCAAGGAAGGCCAACAAGGTGCCGCTGGACCAATGGGCCCACCGGGACCGCATGGAGAGCGTGGCGAGAGAGGATTTGCTGGTGAAAGGGGTCGAGCTGGTCTTCCTGGGCCACAGGGCATGCGTGGTGAGGCTGGCCCACCAGGACCTGCTGGTGCAACGGTAAGAGCATAGGCGACTAAGTGGCGTCTGAAATTTCGTATAAAATTAGTGTTCTGGGTTTACTACGTGAAGAAAATAGTAAGATTAGAAGATGGGTGGCTTGGTCTGAATTCATTGCTGGAAAATTTACAGAACACAGGACGACGCGCTACTAACTGACATCTTTTTTTCCGATTGCACATTGTAGAACACAATAGTTGTGTCCCCCAACACTGACGACGGATAAGAGACATCCAGCTAAAGTGTCACTTCATCTTCTGGCTCATGTCATTGTAGAAACCGTATCGCGTTTTCCTATACATTGATAGTGGCCTATGCACCTCAAGCCGTCTGGTCTAATGAGAGAGGCCTCTGTAATTTTTACGAGAGTACTTAGCGCAAGTAAAAGCACGACACGCGAGAAAAACAGACATGGAGCAAGCGTTTGGTTATTGTGTGTTTTCCTAATTAGCGGCGTTTCTTATTCATATCAATAAACACCAAGCATGACCTCAAAACGTCCTCTGTAACTTTCCTCTGAGTCTTCACTTAACGTCTGTAAACAACGTAGGTCCTTTCGAACATAAGCCTGCACCCCTTCTCCGTACAGTCTTCGCAGCAGATAACGATGTGTGTGTGCGTGCGTGCGTGTGTGTGTGTTTGTGTGTGTGTGTGTGCGTGTGCGTGTGTGTGTGTGCGTGTGTGTGTGTGTGTGTGTGTGTGTGTGTGTAAGTGTGTGTGTGTGTGTGTGTGTTTGTGTGGTCTTTTCATGAAATAGCTGTGGTGTTGGCTTAAGCGCTCAATCAGGCAAATAGCCGGCTACCCGACGTAGACTACCCGGTACGAAAGGTGCAGTCTATATACTGCACCTAACGCAGAAGTTTCGCAGGGTTTCGTGCACTTCACACTACATGCTTTCCGATTGCGAGACAGGCATTTCCCATGCTTTCTAATGGCCGAGTATATGTGCCCCACCTTTCCATTCACCGAAAAGACAACGTTTATACCGTAGCGCAACCGTGCAATCTGGAGGCTATGCGACGGCCAGTGGGCGTGTGATATCCTTGCCACTCACATGCCGCTCTGGGAGACGATCCTGGAAGTGTTAGTGTCCTTCTTGAGCCAAAAGTCACAGCTCAAATGTTTGCTGGTAGCAGTAATAACACTAGTCGCGAACCTTAGGTCTGTCAGGTGTCTGTATCTGTGTATCGAAACGGGCGCTCATTTGTTGTACACCAGATTTTTAATTGTGATTTCAGGCATGCTGAGGCTGTGCCATCTGAAACAAGCTGCGAATATTTGGACGAGTGGCTTAGCTATCCTGGCTGAATATATCCAATATACGTGCTCAACATTGAATGATGTAAGTGCAGCTGTTTAACGTCCCGAAACTACCACAAGATTACAAGAGACGCTCATCGTTGAATGTTCAGGGCACATCAAAAAAACGTAGCTGCTTTTTCTGGAGCCCTTCATACGTAAAGAACCAACGCAAATCTTTGTGAGAAAATACTTCCAAACATTTCATTGCGAGTCTCTTCATCGCAGGAGGTCCCTATCACTACAACACATTCCGTTTATCGTCTTTTTCTCGTGACCATCTTTCGGTGCATTTTCAAGCAAAGAAGAAGTTATCATTCTAATCAGCCTCTGGTTGCACAAGTCACAAGCGAGTACCTAAATTTCCCGTACGAATTCTGTTCCGTAGTAACTTTCAGCCCTGTGGTAAATAACTGATGTTGAAGAGTGAAGCAGGTGGTTAAAGTTTTATTACTGAAGGCGTTTTTTACTGTGATGAAACAAAATTACTTCTGAGTGGAAAATTTCTGGCGACAGTAATATGGGATAGGCCTAATGCACGTACTGTGTGAATCTATTGACCAAATTGATGGGCTCGGACATCAAGGCATCCAACGTTCGCTTATCGTCTATCAACAAATTTTGTACAAAAAGAAGGTGATATTTGATACAGCCACATATTTTATACAATTAGGCATATCTAATTGAATTCACTATTCGCAGGCAACTGTAAACAAACGTAATCTGTGCGAACGTGTGCAGCTAAGAAAATACAAGGTAAAAAATGAACTTCTTTCATGAGAAATTGATTGATTGATATGTGGGGTTTAACGTCCCAAAACCACTGATGATTATGAGAGACGCCGTAATGAAGGGCTCCGAAAGCTTCGACCACCTGGGGTTCTTTAACGTGCACCCAAATCTGAGTACACGGGCCTACAACATTTCCGCCTCCATCGAAAATGCAGCAGCCGCAGCCGGGATTCGAACCCGCAACCTGTGGGTCAGCAGCCGAGTACCTTAGCCACTAGACCACCGCGGCGTGGCTTTCATGAGAAATCAAACGTTGATATAGAGTTGTCTGCCTGGATTGAGTCGACAAATATGTGGGTCAAGATAAATAGCAAACCATTGACGCCAGCAGTCTGACTTGTGAACCGTTTTCTATGAATATGAAAAGCATTTGTTATAATCAACTTAAACGCTTGTAGCGTAATGAATAAACCAAAGCCTCTTGAAGTTTCTATACTGGAGAATGACCCGCGCATTGACGTCCTAACCCTGAAATGTGACCGCTGACGAAATTATAGGGGCCCTGCAACACTTTATGAGCATGGTCAGAAAACTCTGCCGATCAGTAGTAGAGGCTCGAGGCAACACGTTAGCCAAATATTATTACAGCACGTGGCCTAGAATTCACAATTAATTATCAAAGCCAGCTTACAATTGCTTTTCCTTCTCCTCATAAATCACAATACATTCCCGAAAGTCACACTTCAACGACCCATCCATCCATCAGCCATCCATCATCCATTCGCTGATTTGAACATGACAAGCTCGCTGGTTACTGAAATCGCCATGGGAGGACGCTACTTGTTTATGCGTGCGCTCGCGATCACACTGACAAAAGCCGCGCATTTGAAGAAAAAGAAAAAAGCTCAATGTCGCGAGTCATGCGTTACACTTTTCTGTGGCCCTGCCATTCCTCCCTGCTTACCTTCCAGCGCTTTCGTCGGGACAGGAGAAGAGATGATGCAATTGCAGCATGCGAACAACCTCTGCAACTCCACTCACATATAAGGGTTTTTAAAATTTTCGCGGCAATGAATTCGTGCGGCAATAATCTCTTCCAGTGAATTCATTCCATGGTTATTTGAAAAAAGTGTTTCAGAGTCCCTTTTAGAGACGATGATGTTTTTCCACCCAGTGACCAAGTTTTCCGTAAGCATGGGCCTTCTAGAAGACGTGGCGTGGCTGTCCTCACTACAAACCTCGTGGACGTGGTTTTTTTAGATGAAATTCCCAGCGTAGAATGTTTATGCATAGGAATCACGTGCTGGGGTCATATCTTCGAACGAAGCAGGTTTACAGGTTTGGTTTTTGCCCTCGGCAAGGTGTATTTACACCCAGTTCTCTTTCTTCACATTTACATTAAAATTCTGCCTAAGAGCATCCCATATACATTCCTTGACATTATTGTCTGTTTGACGTCGTTAATATTGTTACGAAAGAGAAGAGACGCCGAATCGATAAGGCTGTGAATGAGATATATTTCAAAACAGCAGCAGCAGCGCGAGAAGTTGATGCTGAAGCTGATGACCTCAGATGGATGGCGCTCACCCACAGAAGGGGATGGGCCAGGAACCGGGCGGAAGGATACTTAAATGAAACTAAAATGAAATAAAAAGCCAACCTGAAAAATTTGTTTATCGATATTGCTGCCGCCAATAAACAAAAAATGTTTGCTTAGCAAGCAGTCAAATGCTCTCTTGTTCCTGACAGACATCGCTACAAATTATAAACTAAAGTTCTGAAAAGGTTAGGGTTCACTAGCACGGTAATCTTTTAGTTGCATTGATGTAGTCAAACACAGTGGAGCATATATCTCTGTGGCAGTAACCAAATGAAGTGCCGCAAAGTGAAAAAAGTACTGGTACAGTACTTTGACCAGCGACCGAGCGGAGACAACCTTTGTCATCTTTGTCAGGCACACATGCGCATCGTTCCACAAAATGTCAATATGCATGTAAATAGTCCACGGCGGCAGAAGCGCCATTGCGGCGCACCTAGATGGCAACGTCACCGGGAGAGTGGCAAGGTTTCAAGCATGCCACATGTATGATATCGGTGGTTTGTGACTGTTGGGTAGTTGAAGGCTAGGGCAGTTGATGCAGCAGGGGCAATTTTTGTACGTCACAAGAGTAAGCTCACGAAAGATTCGGGACGGACCTTTGTAGCCAGAAAAACGTTTTTACCGGCAAGCCGATTTGATGAGTTGGAGACCACAGAGGATCAATTCACCGGGTACAAAGTGCGCGTCACAGTGCCATTGATCGTACAGGCGCCATTGGTTCTCTTGAGAGGTCACATGGCGAGTGCGGGCGATTTCACGAGCGTGAAGAGCCCGACTGATAGCGTCAAGAGCATATTCACTGATTGTTTTCGCGGTAGACACGATGAATGTATCTAGGAGTAATGTAGCATCTCGGCCAAACCACAGAAAAAATGAGAGTAAGCTCAACGTATCTTCTGGCTTAGCATAGAAGTCCTGGCCAAATGAGCGTCGGCGAACTTGGTCGTAAGTGTGTGACACACCAAGGTGACCGGCAGTTAGAAGATAATAAAGCTCATGGAGAACTGCCGAGCGAAGGTGTTTCCGAATGATGAGCAGCTGAGCTGGTCCATCTGGGTAGAAGTTCTGGCGGTATAGTAATCCAGTGTGGAGGACGAATGAGCGATGGGCCCTGTCAAAAAATAGTGCTTCGAGACGTTCGATTAGCACGCAATGAAGCATCACGGCGTTGCTCGTTACCGATGCGAGTCAGTTGCGAAACTTAAAAGACGCAAATCTCGGTGGCAGGAATGGTGTTGGATTCATCGACCGGTTAGAGGGGACAGGCAGTTTGCGTGCTGGTGTAGGTGTCCGACTTGTATGTGACTGTATCAGTATACTTTTGCAGTCGCGGAGCGCAGCGCCAAAGCCAGCCAGTAAAATTCTTCAG